GATCAATTATCAGAGGTGGGAGCAGTGAGCAGCCCTGGGCTGTGCTCAGTCAGCAGTTTTCCTCCTCCTTTCCCTCTCAGCGAGGCTGACGCTGCAGGTCAGGGTGCACTGATGGTGGCACAGGGCAGAGTCAAGCACAGAGCTTGCTTACTCGTTTTTGGGGCAAGAGTCACAGGCTGAAGTTCTGCTCTGGGACTGGGAAGTCCCAACTGTCCTGAAGTACTTGAAAACATCACAGATACTACATTAAAAAACAGGTTACTTCAGTCTCAAGAGAGACAGCTTCCTGCCCAGATTGCCAACTTAGCTTCAGAGCCAAGGCTTTTTGGTCACTAGGAGATGCCACAATGCGACTTCCAGAAGGGAAAACCTCCCAGCCACATTTTGTGATTGTGGTGCTGTGTCCCAGGGTGCTTTTGGGGGCATCTGGTGCATCATTCCTTGACACAAGGGAAGAGAATCAATCTCTTCAGGTTGCTGACCACTTGGCTTTCATCAGTCCCCATCCTGTCTTGTTTGTTGTAATTCTGTTTTTATATATATTTAAATACTTTTTAACCCTGTGACCTTATATCACCATTAGTGAGTATGGAAATCATGGGGGATTTGAGGATGCCTGGCACTGAGAGTTCTTCCAATCTTTTTTTTCCCCAAGGTAAACGAGAATGAGGAATACATTTCATTTAATGTGAGGATGAGCTACATCTCTTTGCTAGCACAGAGATGTGCAGAGAAGGTCCCTGATGATTTGAATGATTGTGAGCTGCCATGAATCAAGCAAATTCACACATTCAGGGCTGAAAAGCTGTGCTAAAACACAGCATTGCTTGATTGCAATCTTTCAAAATGTTGTGACTTTTCTGTGTGATGTAAATTCTCACATCTTCCTGAGACTGATTGCTYTGCTGTGTGTATAAACAAGGACCCAGGAACTGGAGCCACCATTAAAAAAAAAAAAAAGAAGAAGGGTATGGGACACCTTGTCTTATCTTGATTGAACATGTAATAAACACTGTGGTTAAAATGACTGCCCTTGAAACGGTTTCCAGGGAAAGTTTTACTTCTGCATGATAAATTTCCTTTTCCTTTTAAAAACCTGGTTTGTACCAAGGCCCTTCCAGAGACTGCAAGATTCCCGGGATAGCTAAATTTCAAAAGTCAGGTTTCTTTTCACTGGGATTAGAAAAGGACATGTATTTGAAAATGAATTGCTGTGAACTTCTGGAAAATAATTGTTACAGCCCACTAGGTGAGACTGAGATAAATGGAGGAAYAATCTTCCTGTGCTGGATGAAGTGAATTCAATAATTCCTGAGTTATGACAACCCTTGCAAAATGAGAAATGAGGTCTAATTTCACATTCTTTGCCTTTCTCTGTCTAAGAAAACCTTTTCCTGAGGGTGGGGGTGGTGGGGGGAAAACAAAAAGAAGAATCTGTAGCTGAGATATAASGCTTGAATAAACCAAATGTCCTGGACCAGAGGGAGCCCATCATCAAAATTAAAGCAGTTCTTGTGCCTTGTTCCATCACTAGGCTGTGACCATGTTTCCTCTCAGGGTTAGAGGTCAGCATGGAAACGTTTTGCTGTGAAGATTGTGAATGAAGAGAGTAGAGCAAACCAGTCTCTGTTCCATGCACCAGAGCCTYGAACCTGCTGGAATATTCCCTTCCCTGGCTGTGTGCAGTGACTGGGTGGCCTGGCTGCAGCTGCTGGGTTCCCCTTTGAAGCAGGGGAGAGCTGCAGCGTGGTCCAGGCGAGGAGATAGCACAGCTTCCACCCCCGCACCCATCCGGGCAGCATTCCTGGAGCTGCCTCTTTCCAGGGCAGACCACCTCTGGAGCCCTGAGAAACCCAAACCCCTTTGCTCTGGGAGCCTGAAGTTCTGCTGCTTTGGGCACAGCGATGAATTTTGGCTGGAGACAAAACCCTCACCTGGCTGAGGAGCTCACGGACTCATTCTTGCCCTCATTCTTTGCCCACACAGGRCAGCTGATGAAAATCCATGTCTGAGCTGGCAGGGAATTGCTSTGGGCTGGCTGCTGCTCACCACAGGCGTGTCTGCCTCGGAACTCTCCTCCATGTGCAGTGGGTGATGAGGGAGGCTGYTGTGCCCTGTGCCAGGAGCCTTTCCCAGGGCTCAGCTGCTGCTGGGTTTGGTGTTCAGAAGGGAAGGAATTGCAGCTTCCACCCTAAACCAGCTCAGTGAGGTCTCCATCAGCCTTGTTTTTATTYGTGGCTTCCTCTGAGCAAAGGTTTGTTGTTACCTGGTGTGCCTGGGGATTTTCAAGGCAAGTGGGTGAAAGACAGGCTGTGCTGAGGATGATCTTACTGCCGTGGTCATCACTGACCTGTGTGAAGGGAATTGTCCACCCTTGTGTCATTTGGGCAGTGAAACTGGTACTGAGAAAACCAACCCACCCTGCAGAGTTGGAGGTATTTACTCCTGCCTGTGTCCTGGCACTGATTCCTCCATCTCTTTGCAGATTTGGGCTGTGCTGTGCACAGGCAGCAGCTGAAGCCCCCTGGGAACCAGGGACCAGTGGCTCTTAGGGCTTCCTTGCCCTGAGATRGAACAAGCAATTGTGGTAATGAGAGAGATGGCAAGTGAGAGGATGGGTTGCCTGGCAGGTTTTGGCTGAGATGATCTTACAGATGAGGTGGGATGGCAGAGGGAAAGAGAAGAGCTTGTAATTAAAATTTCTAGGGTTTCATCAGGAATAAAAGCAATAAATCAGCAACTTCTTTCCCCCACCAGTACATCCCCCTGGTGTAGGTTGCCATACCAGCTCCTTGTTGATTTACTGGAACCAGATAAGGAGGAGAGGGATCCTACTGGGAGCTGTGCCTTTTTGGCAAGTACACCCCAGTTGTGGAGGCTTTAAGGAACAGTTTAGTCTACAGTTGTACAGAATACCCAGCTTGGCTCCATGGAAAGCCTGTTTGCAAGGAGGGAGGACAGGGTGACCTGCCTGGTGGAGAGGAATGTTCAATTTGCTTGTCTTCACTCACATCGCTCTTATTTTTCTTCCAAAACCCTGCCTTGGTGTCTTCTTTGGGAACCTAATGGAAATCTTTGCAGTGGTGTTTTAGTGCCCTTTGTAACACAGTTACTTGCCAAGTTCTCCACCAAATGAAACTCCATGTGAGGTTGGGCAGGGTCACTGCAAGGTGGCTGTGGACTTTTCCCTGTGCTTCACAGGGTGCTTTTTATGGCTGGTGCCCTGTGGCACAGGGCTGTKTGTTGTCTGGAGCTGGACTTCCCTTGTGGGGGTAGCAACAACGGGTTGTTCTTTGCTGAAGATTTTACCTGGTATCTCTCATTAGTGCTCCCTAAGCATCATCTTCCTGTTTCTTCCCAGTTCCTGAATGTTTTAGTGTAACTTTATAAACTTCAGTCACTTTTATTTCTCAGTTGTGGCACATACCCTTTCCCTMCTGCGGCATCACCACGGCTCTGAGTCACTTTTCTGGGTGCAAGTTCAAATGTCCATGGTCTCCTGGCTTGGCAGGATGCCCAAGTACAAGAAGAGAGTCACTTTGCCCTTCCAAATCAAGTTTTGAGTTAATTATCTGTTTACTTGGACAGAGAGTGTCCTTGCGCACAGGGAAGATAATCTCCCGATCTGGATTAGGGTCACAGGAGTTCAGAGCTTTGGCACAGCAGTGGGAGGGAGGGAGTGATGGGTGGCTCCCAGGGGAAGGACAGAGGCCATAGGGCTGGTTGGGTATTTGAGGGCTGGATGTTCATCCTCCTGCTGCCAAGGACTCTGGGTATGGCTGTGGACACGTCCCAAATTGATTAAACTCCGCCTTGGTAAGTGAAAAGGAGCAATTCAAGGAGATGGAAGTGAAACTGGGGGAGATCATGGAGGGGACTGGGAAACCAGAGACACAGAAAGAGGTGTATAGTAAATCCAGTCTGCAGTGGAGTAAATCAGAAATATTCATCAACAACCTTTCGTGGGAATGCTCACGGGAGTTCTGTGCCATGGCCCTGCTCTGTGATTTTTCAGTACAGCAGTGGGGCCAGGACATCCTGTCACCTTGTGGGGAAGAAGGAGGAAGCTGAGATCTATGGGGTGACTAAAAGAGTGGGATCATCCCCCAGTAACACCTTAGGGGCTCTGTAATGAGTAAGGGTTTAGTAAAGGCCAGCCACRAGTCCCTGTTGGGTATTACTGGGATGTCAGGTTGGGCTTCCTGGCTGGAATGTGGGGCTGCTCCAGTGCTGCTGGCAGAGTGAGAGCAGAAATCACTGCAGATGGATCAGCATGGGTACARCAGCAAGGGAAAAGCTTGGTGGGACCCCTTGGGACACAGAAGAACCTTGCAGTACTGTGATACAAGGCCTCTATCCAAAGAGTTCTTGGGCAGCCTTGTCCTCCTAAGACTAAATGTAAAGCAAAAAGCATTTCCTGGATGCCTTTAATGCTGTCCCGTGTGGCTGCTGGTGCTCATTGTTTTTCCTTGCTTACAGTGCCTGTGACTGCCATGGGGGAATCCAGCATGGACCCGACCCTCTCTGCTCCTGACAGCACTGCACAGCAGGACTCTCTCTTCAGCATGATGGACTTGTTCCTCATCTCCCTCATCACTGGACTTTTTACCTACTGGTTCTTCTTCCGCAAGAAAAAGGAGGAAGTGCCCGACATCCCCAAGATGCAGACAGTGTAAGTAACAACTCTCAGGCTGCGTGGCAGCACTGGAGCTTTCCTCTCTTGCTTATGGTGGGTTCTGGAAGGCTCAGCTGGGTTGTGAGAGGACTCAAGGTCTCAAAGGGTGTTTCTGTGCTCTGACAGTGCAGAAATCCTGCTGGATGCAGAAATCCAGGCTGCAGTTCTGCCTTACCCCACCGTGTGGCCCAAATCGGGATTGGCCTTTGCCGAGCAAGGCAGGAAAGCATCTGGCTGTACTTCAAATATCTGAAGGATTTCAGTGGCTGTTCTTGATGTTTTCTGATAAAAGTCACATTCAGATAAATCTGGAAAAAAGCAGACTTGCTCTTAAGCAGGTTTCCTATTGGAAATCTTATYTTCCCRYAGCTATAAAGGAAAARAATAGTCTTGGGCAGCTGGGAGTTSCTGGGATGAGCTGCTTGGCAGCTCCTGTAAARCTTGATTGGCTTTTGATGCTGAGTTACCACAGCTGCTGGAGATTGGATTTGGAGAGGGAGAGCTTTGTTCCACCCTGTCTTCTGCAAAGGGCTTGGGGCCAGGAACGAGCCACGCTGGTGGAGAACAGGGTGCAYTTCGTTCCTTGTCTCAGTCACATTCCAAACTTCACATCAGTTTTCTGCTGGACTTTTTAGCTCATTCYGGCCTTGCAGCAGGTTGGAAAGTACATTTTCTGGCTGCTGAAGGGCAGCAGTGTCCCTGGCTGTGCAGATGGGTTCACACATGGCTGTGCCTGCTCAGCCTCACCTTGGGAATGTGCTCTGTTGGATTGCTGAGATACTTTCCCTCTGGTGCCTGCCAGGCAGGGMTGTGTGTGTCAGCKCACGTGGTCACCTCTGGAGATTGTAAGGAGAGCATCTGTGCTCAGTGAGAGCTGAGCTGGCTGGGGAAAGGGCACTTTTACCCTCTGAAATTCGATCCTGGCATGGCACAGCCTGGGCACCCGTGCTCTCATCCTTGTGACTGATTCCACCTACAGCCCATCATGTGCAGCTCTTCCAGAGGCTGTKGTGACCTTGCAGGGAAGCTSTGGCTGTCCCTGGTGTGTGTTATCACCATGTGCTGCTGCTGCAGGGCTTCAGCATGTGGGCTTCCATCCCAGCCTGGCTGCAGGTCCAGCCTCTGAACTGCCTCACAGGCGCTTTGTTTCCTCCATGGAGTCTGTGCTGCCTTCTCTGTCCCTGTGGGCAGTGGCTGGGAGGGAACAACTGCTCCTTGTGGGAGATGTGGGACAGCAGCACCTCCCATTGCTGATAACCCGAGAGGTGAGGTTGTTTTGAAAGTCGTCTGACACAATTGCATTTTGCAGAAATGTCAGCCAGACAGGTGCAGAGTGAGAGGAGGCTGTGAAGTAGTTTTACCCTGCTGTGGTCATGGTAGAAAGCTGGTCTGAGGGCAGTGAGACTCTAAAAGCTAAGACTGTGGCTGGTGGCACGTCCGTCCTTCAGGACAGAGACAGTCACTTCCTGCAGCTTTTGCAGTGGGATTTTATGGGATGCCTGGAACTGGGAGGAAAATGAGTAGGAAAACAAGCTTGGTCAGCCTTGGGTTTCCTTCCCTCTTGTAGTCCTTGAATGTGGGGTAGAGTTTCCTTTCTGATGAACAAGCAAATTGACAAGACACAGGGTCACCCTGTCAGCCTGTGCCTGTGGCTGGCTGGRTATGGCAGGTGGGCCTGTGGGCAGGCAGGGAAGCTGTCCCAGACCCATGAAGCCCCTCAGTGGGGCTGTGTCTGGCTGGAGTGGGGAGCCTTTACCTTCAGAGGAGCTGTGTTTCTTCAGCTCCTTCTCCGCAGCTCTGCCCGAACCAAACTGCCTTGTCAAAGTGTTTATCTGATGGCCAGATTGGGTGATGGTTTCTCTTGTGTCATTTTGGCCCCCAACTTCAGCCTCAGAATGCTGGAGGATGGAGGTGTGAGCAGCAATTCTGACACATCACAGTGGGAACTGCATTTTGTTTACAATGCTAAAGCGTGCAARCAGAGTCTCTGACCTGGACACAGCATCCAGCAGCTTTCAGGAGTTTTTGGGAGCAGCACACGTTGATAAAAACACGTCAGCTCAGCAGGGTCTACAAAGGAAATGCCACTGTTTTTACTGCCCTGGCTGTGGAAGAGCAGATGTGTGGCTGAAATGCCCTGTTYGGGATGGCAGCAGCGCTGGGTTCTCTCTGTGTGGTCTGGGAATGGTCATGGTCTTGCCTCATTGATGCATCTCCAGGTTCAGCCACAGCTYAGCGAGGGATCAGGCTGCTGGTCCCACATCCTTACAGCCAAGTGGAGCTGTTTTCATGCCCAAAGTCCCCACAGAAGGAACAGAACCCAGCACATGTCTGGTTCCCTGTATACAAGGTGTCCTGTACCTGTGAGGTGTAACACATTCATGTGTGGGCCGGGCTGAGATCCCACTGACTGAGCATTGCTTGTGTTTTGGCCATTTCCAGACTTAATTAAAACCACCAGAGCAGCCCTCCCTGCAGCCTGCTCTGCAGATGTCATTAGGGAGAGCAGCTCTGGATCGCCACGCAGCCACGGCCACCGCGCTTCCTCACAGGGCCATTGCCGGGGAATGCAGGAATTTATTTTTATTCTTTGGCTGCTCCTCCTCTACAAGTTTCTCAATCRCAGATTTTCCCTTCTCGTGTCTCCGCTCTGCAGACACTCATCCTGGGGAGATGCAGGCGGGACAGCCATTGGTATGCTGGGTGTCACCCTCTCCCTTCTCCCCCCTCTTTAACATTGTTTGGGACAGAAACTGGCTTATCTCTATTCTGCAGCCCTGCAGAAATCCATTCCCTGGTACTTGTAGGGCTTCCTGTGGCAGGAATTGCTCCAAGTCCTTCGCCTGATTAGCTCTCTGCTGCCTGTGTGTGTGTGAGAGACCATCTCTAATTTAATTTAATAGGATCCTGAGGAAAACAAACTCCTTTGAGCTGCCTCCCTAATGGCACTGCCATAGTTACCCGAAGCGTTGCTCACGCAGTGTCTGGAATCATTTCATTCAGCTACAGCATCAAGCTTTTTTTCTCT